CTCCCGCCACCGCCACCGCCACCGCCGCGCGCTGGCGTGACTCCCGGCCCGCGCCGCGCCCTCCCGCGTCTGCAGCCGGCTCGGCTTCCTGCCCGCCCAGACGCTGCTTCTCCCGGTCTCCCGGTGTCGGCTCCGCGGAGGGAGAGGAGATGAGTGCGGCGGCGCCGGCGCCCGAGCGGGGTTGGAAGAGCGAGAAAGTGGACGAGGCTCAGGCCCTGGCGCGGAGTTGCGCTGCCCGCAGACCCGACTTCCAGCCGTGCGACGGGCTCTCCATCTGTGCCACGCACAGCCATGGCAAGTGCTTCAAGCTGCACTGGTGCTGTCACCTAGGATGGTGTCACTGTAAGTCGTGCCGCGTCTCCCCGCCTTCTGCCGCGGTCCCGGGGCGCCCGCGGAGCCGTCTGGGGTCGCGGCTGGGACTCTGCGGCCGCGGGGCCTCCGGGCTGGGCCGGGGCTGCTCGACCGCCGGCGGGGTTCGCCCTGGGCTCCGGGCCGGCGGGAGCTGTCCTCGCGCCGCCGGACGGCTCGGGTTGGCGCTGCCTTGGCAACGAGATGAAATTCCGCGGGGAGACTTAGCCACTTCTACAGAAGGGGATCTCCCCGTCCCGGGAAAACTGGGATCTATGATTTTTTTTTTTTTTTCTTTTTTTAACCGAGACGGCAGTGTGTTGAGAAATGGTAGACAGCCGTCAGAGTTGACGACAACCGGAGGGGAAGCCTTTCTTTCAGGGCTGGTAGTTACAGATGCTCCTCTTTCTGTCTCACTTTTGTCTTTCTGGGCTGCTATTTAAAGGAAAGAGCCCCTGGAAATCGAATCGTGGCCCATTTATTGTATCCAGAGTGAGAAAGCGCTCAAGTGTGAGGGACTGCTTCTAAGAAGTTAATATTAACAGTTTGGAAGGGTGAACTCCTTACATACCCAGCTGCAGCATAGAGACCCGATATATAAGACTGTTTTAAAATTACAAAATAAAATCAATGAAAGTAAGCTTAAATAATCTTAAACCAATTTATGAAAGCCAGAACTAAATGGTCTGGGCCTTTTCTCTATGTTTATCCTGCCTATGGTTTTTAAAATGGATTAAATTTAAGTAGCCATTTAATAAGAATACTACAATTTGATCAGTTCATGCTATTTGGCCTGCTGTATCTGATGAATAATTTCTTTTTAGACATATATTCTAAACTTAGTTGCCACATAAACACTCCAAAACCCTCTATTATAAGGTTATTTAGAACAAATTCTCGAAGTGATCTTAAGTTAAAATTTTTTCCTTGTTGGTTAGGAAAAAATGGCTACCAACAAGAGATGCAGTACATAATAAATCCTTATTTACATTAATTGAACATAGTGGAATATTTTAAGTTGAATTTATGATTTAAAGGATAGAGAATTTTTACATTTTCTTTTCAAATACAAGGCACGTGGAACAGTATTGATTTTTTGTATTCCGTGTGCTGATGGGTCAGTTTCTTCCTATATCTCATTATTCCTATTGAGCTCAGATTCATTCCCAATTATAAGGCGTCACTTCAGTAGGGGACAGAGTACAAAGTTGGAAGTGGCAACTGCAGGAAACCTGAGATGCTGAAGTAGACAGTGGGGTGAATCTGGTGAGAGTCCATTTCCTGAGGAAGTGTGGAATCATAGTGTAGAATGTGAGGAACATTAAAGATGGTCCAGTTCACTGCCTATCTTATTTCAGCATCTCCCTTCTAAGTACACCATTACTGATGGGAGCCTTGCAGTCTTCTCGGGCAGCTTCTTCCTTCATTAGACGGCTTTGATAATACTCTTCCTTATGTGGAGCTGAAATCGGTTACTTTCTAATTTCTTTGCATTGGTCCTGTTCCTGCCTCATGAAATCTTATAGAACAATCTAATCCTTTTTTAGATCATGGCTGTTTCAACTCTTCAGATATACGTATGAATTTCTCATGGACATAGACTATCTTCTCTCTGTATCCCCAGCCACTGTCACAATGTCTGGCCTGAAATAGGTTTGGAATTTATGTTTGTTGAATGACTGAATGAAGGTAGCCATCATTTTCCTCTCAAGACATTGTTTTATTCTATTTATAAATCTCTATTCCCTTCTGCCTTTCCTTTTATGGAATAATATCCAGGCTCCTAAGCATTCTGGTTGTTCTATTCTGAACTTGTGCCAATGTGGTTATGATCCTTTGAAGACTGTGAGCCCTGGAAGGGTACATAATATCCCATTTGTAGTCTGATCAGTCCAGAGTTGAGCAGGACTGCTATCACCCATGTTTGAGATGCTACTACTGCTGCAGCCAGCGTCACATGAGCTTTTCTGATATCCGCATCATAGTGAGCTTGCTGCTGTCAGATTGAACTAAACTTGCAGTCAACTAAAGCCACAAAGCCCTTTTGTTTGTTTGTTTGTTTTACATATGTGGCAAGTAAGTCACAGCACTTGCCTGTCTCACAGTTATAGATATAGTTTTGGACACAGGTACTGATCGATCCCTTAGATATTTTTCCCTATTAAATTTCATTTTATTAGAATTAGCCCATTTTTCTGGTTTATCATTGTGTTTTTAGATCCTGGCTCTTTCATAATATATATTATGAGCTTTCTGGTTTCATGTTAACTGCATATTGGGTACCAACAGTAGTATAGTAACCTTCTACGTCTTCAGTCAAGTTATTGATAAAATTGTTGAACAGGAGGAGGCTACAGATGGAGTCCTGAAGCTTGCCGGTAGATCGGCCCTTCAGGTTGATAGCAGGCTGTTAATGGGCACTTGTTGTTATGGTCATTCATACAATTACCTAGCCACCTAATTGTACTGTTATCTAGCTTATATTTATCTTATCCATATAGGTATAATGAGAACCGGGTCCAATACCTTGTTGAAATCCTACCGACACACTACTTTTACTGCTTTTTATGTATGATCTATCTATAAACATGCTCTTAAAAAAAGAAAGGAAATTAGTCTGGTATAACTCCAGTTGGTTCCACAAATGCTTACCACTTTCTTTTCTAAGTGATTAGAAGCTGTTTTTAAAATCTGAATTTAGAAAAAGATTGCTGTCAAGTATACTGGATTATTGTTGGCAATTCTTTCTGTTTTTTAAAAAAATCAGATCTACATGTATTTGCTCTTTTCCAGTCTTTGGCAGCTCTCTGGGTCTCCAGGCATCCTATGCTGGCAGTGATTCAGTGATCACATTCAGGAGGAGCTTCATTTCATTTAGAGCAGCAAGGTGCTGTGTTATAGTCTCCTCACGTATACTGGGCATCAATTGTATCTACCCTTTTTTAGCCGAAATATAATTTTTCTTGAAAAGAAGCAGAGTTAACGTATTTGAGAAGTCCTGCTTTCTTTTTGGCGTTCATGAACATTATAGCGTCAGTCCTAAGCAGAATTCCTTTAATTCTGTTGAATGTTTACTGAGCACCTTCTCTTTATGAGATATTATTATGGAAATTAGGAATACAAATATGAGTACAGCTGGATCATGCCCTTTAAGCCGAGGATAAGGGTATGATTCGTGCTGTGTTTATTTTTGTATTCTCTTAAAATCACAAGTGATATGGGTGAGAAAACTATCTGCTTGTTCACCAAATCAGAAAATGCTAGGACGAGAGGACTATCTTGATGCTACCAGAACAGGCAAAGGAAGCTTTATATTCAGCTTTTATTCAGCTTTATATGGTTGATGTTAAACTTGTGAAATTCATAACCTTATGAAATAGAAAGGCTAAAAATACATACATGTTCATAAAAGACATATAGAACATATATATTCATAGATGCAGTGATTGATGTATTATTAAAGGAAATAATTAGTGTATTGGGTAATGACAGATATTGAGGACTGTGTCTGGGAGGGAAACTATAATATGTTCTGTTGGTGTCACTGTCAAAAGATAGATTATGGGGCTGAATAAACTATGGCCCTGAATCTGTAACTTTATTTTTCTCCCAGTAAGGAGTGATATTGGGTTGAATTAATAAGTAAAGGATTCCAAGAGGAGTTTTGAGAGAGAAAAAGACATGGCTTGGCTAGTGAAGAGGGATAGGAAAGAATAAATCGTATGAAGATATTGTAAAGCAGATTTTTGTGGCTGGAGTAGACAAAGTATTTAGAAGGAATAAGAAATTAGATTGTTGAGATGTGAGGGAGGTATGAACAGGAAAGGTGGGGAAGTGTGGAGTTTTGAGTTGGTAGAGATCTTGGCATCACAGTGATAACATGGGAGTAGGGGAATGAAGCCAGCAAGGGAGATTATTTTGGTATTAGTATAAAAAATAGATTGAAATTCTTGCAGCAATATCCATGTAATAGAAGTTGGAATAGATTAGATTTGGAGGGCGAGGAAGAGGAAAGTTATAAAGGATAACTTCTAGACTTCTGCATTATGCAACTTGGATGGGTGGTGGTGCCATTCATTCACTAACAGCAACAAAATATCCGAGAAGAACTAGGTTTAGTTGATCATGGATTGTGAATCCAGGAAGACCATGAATCCAGTTTGGGATCTATTGAGTTTAAGCTGCCTTGTCGTCGCATGGTGATGTCAGTAGGCAGTTGGATATAGGGATCTAGAACTCAGAGGAGAGGTCTGCACCAGACACCTAATGTGGAAGTCATTTACTTATTTATAGATTGCGGTTGTGGTGCTGATGAAGCATGAGATCTCCAAGGGGAGAGACCATAGTATGAGAAATGAAGAAAACCCTTAGGCTTTCTCTTTAGAACAATGACGTTTAGAGTCTGGGTATAGGAGGATGAGCTGGCAGTGGAGTCTAAGAAGAGATGGACAGATAAGAAAAGTCTGGAAATAATGGTATTGCAGAGCCAAGGGAAATGAGTGTTTTAAGAAAGAGTACAAAGATGAAATCAGTTTTCAGCAGGCTATTTCTTAGATATTGGTGGAATATACAAGTAGTGGTTTTCTTTATTGCTAAAGAAGAAGGTGAAAGGTTTAATCCTGCAACAGTAACTTCAGGCATGTACTTAATTGCAGTATTAGTCAAAGCTGTTTGAGACAGTGAACTGTTCAAGGTAGAAAGAGAATAGAATGCCAGGAGCTGAGAATTAGGACACAGAGATAATAAGTAATATTTATTGAGTGATTACTTTGTGCCAGAGTAAGCTTATTATGCTAGCACTTAATAGCCAATTATGTCGTTATGTCCATTTTACAGTTGAGGAAAAGGGCTTAGAGAAGTAACTTGCCCATGGGCACATAGCTAGTAAGGAATAGAGCCTGGATTTGGATCCAGGTCTGTCTGATTCTAGGACCTGGACTCTTAACCACCCTAGGTACTATAGAGTAATTTAAAATTAATGAGCAAAATCAATG